CAGGCTTGGCAGTTTAGGAAATAAGTTTTCATAGAGCGGGTTGAAAACACAATTGTATGCTGGATTGGGCCCATTTGAACGTAATTTAGTGATATACTGCAGTGAGTTTGATGCGTATGTTGTTCAAGGAAGGTTCAGATTTGGCCTCTGCATATAGACTGTCTACACCGGAGGTCCTAAAAGCTCCAGGCAGAGCCTCCCAGTCCTTGGTGGTGGATAGGAGTCTAATTTTTCTTAATTGCTTTTGCAGGCTCCACCGTAGACAATGGAGCCATAATCTAGTTTACTCTTGGACTAATGATCTGTACAAGTGAAGGAGGGGTGGTCTGATCCCTCCCCCACCTGTATTTGAAACTACTTTTAAAGCAAGTCTAAAGCCTTCAAGCACTTTGTTTTCAAATATTTTGTGTGTGGTAAGAATGTCAGGTGGCCGGCTCTAATATGAGTCCAAGGAATTTGCCTCTTCTACTACTTTGATGGGAGTACCTTCTAAAGTTAGGTCTGGATCCTTGTGTGGTTTGTATTTCACGACAAAAGTGAATACAATTTGTTTTTGAAAACCTAAAACCACATTTCATTGGCCCATTTTTGGATTTTGTTAAGGCAGAGTTGTAGCTGCTTTCTATTGTGTGCATGTTCTTACCACGACATACAGAAATATTGAAGTCATCGACGGCGACCCATCAACGCAACTGTTCAGAAGCGTTAGTGAGGCTGTTAATTTTGATGCTAAAAGTGTGACAGACAGGATGCTGCCTTGGGGGCGCCCTGATCTTGGTGGAAGTAGTCAGACAGTGTGGAACCCAACCGAACTTGGAATTGTCTGTTATTAAGGAACCGAGATATGAATTGAGGTAGTCCTACCCCTCAATCCAAATTAAAATTGTAAATCTTTTAGTATACCATGTTTCCATGTTGTATCATATGCTTTTCTAAGTCGAAAAAGATAGATACTGCATGTTGTTTGTTGACAATGGAGTTTTTTTGATGAAGCGATTCCAGGCGCACCAGATGGTCAATGGTACTTGCGTTTTTTCTCGGAAACCACATTGGAGGTCACTGAGGAGGTTATTGGTCCTCCAAGTACCAGATTAATCGATTGATGACCATGCGCTCCATGGTTTTGCAAACGCTAGCTAGTTAGTGATATAGGGCCGGTAGTTTGAGGGATCAGTATGGTTAGCGAAGCGGGTTTTGGTATAGGGATGATGATGGCATTGTGCTACAAGGGGAAGTGTCCGGATGTCCAGATGTCATCAAATATATTTAGGAGTGTTTCCGAAGCCTATGTCAGGGAGGTGTTTCAGAAGCTGATAATGGATTTCATCAGCTCCTGCGCAGTGTAAAATGAGCCTGTCCTAGGGCAGTGCGTAATTCATGGAGGGAAAACGTTTAGTTGTAATCCTCCCCATTATCAGAGTTAAAATTGACTGGTTTCTTTTCTTGTTGGGTTTGATATTTCTGGAACTGAGGGTTATAATTTGATGAGGAGGAGTGGTTTGCCAAAGTTTAAGCCAAAGTTTGTTTGCAATTTCAGATTTATTTGTTAGAAGGAGTCACCATCTTTCAGGTGGTGAACTCCTGATTTTGACTTTCCTTGCCCTTGATCTTTTGAATCATGTTCCACACCTTGGACATGGGTGTGCAGGAGTTGATTTTGGACACATATTTCCTCCATGAGTGGCGTTTAGTTTGTTTTGAAGATGCGTTTTGCCCTGGCATTTGTCATTTTAACAGCATTCAAGTTATGCACTGTAGGATGTTGTCGGAAATATTTTTCCGCCTTCTTCCTATTTTTCCTAGCTTGTTTGCAGTTTGTATCAAACCATGGTTTGCGTAATGTCTTGGTTTTGCAGAGGACTTAGGAATAGTTTTGTCTCCGATGGCATTTAGGACGTCTGAAAATAGCTCCATGGAGTCAGGAACATTCCTGAAGTTGTCCGCTTAAGTTTTTCTGAACATAGGGTTTGGAAATAAAGGCCAATTGGCCTTAGTAACATTCCATCTTGTTGATGGTGGTTCATCCGCGGGGTTGATAGGAGTAAGAATTGTTGGGAAGTGGTCGCTTCTACAAAGGTCGATCATGGACCCGACCATTCAAACTCATTTAAAAGATTTGAATCTGTAAGTGATAGATCGAGAGCAGAATATGATCCAGTGGCAGGATGGAGGTAGGTGTTTGATCCATCGTTGAAGATGCATACATCATTATTGGAAGAAACTCTTCAAGGATCTTTCCTTACAGGTGATGGTTGAAGTTAAACTTGCAACCCTCTTCTTTGCTTCGTGAAAGGAGATATTTTCTTTGTGCTTGATCTTTAGTATCTCGGATTCGCGTTTCCACACTGGACAGAACTTGGAAGAGGCCATATGGTTACCACCGCAGTTTGTGCACTTCACTTCCTTAGTACAGGCGTTGCCCTCATGCTTGTCACCACAGCGGTAACAAACAGCAGAGGAGCGACAGGACTTGGATCCATGTCAAACTTTTGGCAGTTGTAGCACCGAGTGGATTGGGACATACACCTCCACACCAATGCTACAATAACCAGCTTTAATCGAGTCAGGGATGTTTGCTCGCTAGCGAATGTGAAGAGATAGGTGTTCGTTGGTTGAACAACACCATCCTTTTGAAGGTGAATCGTTTGGCCCGGCTGTGGCCGGATTGCGGAGAGAGTTCCTTGACAATTTGTTCTTCAGTCATGTCAGACAGGCATCGAGCTCTGTCCCGCGACAATGCCTCTACCGCGAGTTAAGGGTTTTGTGTGCTGAGACAGCCAATCTTGATATTGACAAATTCTTTTTATTTGAGGAGATTCAAGGATTGGTGTTTCCGGTACATTCTATCAGGAGAGAGCCAGATCGAGCTTTGTAACATTGGCAACCTCTCCGCCAGATACCAGCGATACCTTTGGAGATTGCAGAAGGATTCAATTGCAAAGGTTGCTTGTCACAAGCCCTCAATGATCAGGAAACGTGGCCAGTAGTCAGGTCGAGGGGCTGCTCTCGTCAGACGAGGAGTTGTCATCATCCATATGTCTTCGCTTTTGAACCGGGTATTGAGAAGCCATGTCGTTAGTAATGTGGTTCAGCATCCCTCTCCCCACCCACCGTGGAGTGTCAACAAGGACCGATCTTATACCAGCGGGTCTCCAAGCTGCAAAGACCAGGATAAGAGGTGTGTTATACTCCAGCGAATTTGACATGAAATGCTGTAGCTGCCTACAAGATTAAAGGTCAGGATGGTTCTGTCCATGACAATCAATTGGAGGCGTACAGAAATCGGAGGTCAGCATCACCAGATTGGCCCATGAGCCACCGCTTAGCCTTCTGTGCATGGGTCTGCGAGGCTAGTTTGTTTTGGTGGAATATTTGTTAACATTTTGAACATGGTCAAAGTGTTATGTAATACCCGTTTTGTATAGACATTCCATGCACAGGGCAAGGTGTGACCAGCCCGATTGGGGTGAGACACAGATAGGTCACTAGGCTGTGGGAGGTTTGTATGTGTCACATGTGAAATTAATCACAGATAGGTCACTAGGCTCTGGCTAGGTTTGTATGTGTCACTGTGGCACATAAAATTAATGCAATTAGCGCTTCAGAGCCTGGTTGTTCAAAAGCCTGTTACATTTTAAAGGATTGTTAACTAGTCTTTAACGGATCGTTAACGTTAGCAGGGCGAAAGCCTGTTGCTCAAACTCTGTTAACCTTTAACGGCACGTTAAGACCATGTTAACTTACCAAAAGGGGAGGAGGTACATTAGCTCACCTGTACTACCCATCAAAAGACTCACTTGAAGCACTCACTATATGTTATGCATATACATATGGTTACATCGAAGATTGCTTTCTCCACTAACTTGGGGGAACCTTATGTAGATGAATTGTACGAGGATCATGCATCAAATTGCTGAAAAGCATGTGCAAATATCGTACATGTGAACTGATGCGTTTGGTGTAAAGTTTTGTTAAGAATTCGCCAATATTCACTGATTTTCATCGTTTATTGAACTCATGACAATAATCTTTTCAACGTTGCGAATATGTTTTACAATACATCAGTTCATGTGTAAACAGTACCTTTAAACAGTATGGAATATTTTGCACAATTCAGTTCAGAACAGCTGACTGAAGTAAGTGGCTACATTTACATAAAGAAGTTGTATATCCATAATAGTGTTCCTCTTCATCTTTTAGTCATGCTGCCAGTGCTTACAAACAATATTTCATGGCATGCAAATTAAGCTGTATTTCGATCCCTGATCTCTCAGTAAAGAGGAAAAAGTAAGGTTTAAAATGAGCCAATGAGAGATGTTATGTATGAGATTGTTGTCCACTAATAATGTTTCCAAACATAGGAAGACTCGGAGTCTCAATGATTCTGCTTCAATGTTAGATCTGGGAACGCCAGTATTTAGGGGACAAAACAAAGATTGGTATAATGAGTATAATCAGTATAATGAGTCTGAACTGGTAGTGGGGTATCCTAGTGGTTAAATCGTTCTCTCATCGCGCTGTAGACCCAGGTTTGATTCCCCGCATGGGTACAATGTGTGAAGCCCATTTCTGGTGTCCCCTGTTGTGGAATATTGCTTACTCACTAATTGAACGGGGAATCCATAATAAATATGGCGTGGCCAACCTCTATAAAACCAGCATTAGTTCAGCCTAGTCCAGTCATGCATGTTGTTGTACAGGTGCATCGATCATCAATCGTGAATGCAGTGTCAGGGGTGGAAATAACCCATTGTCCGACATCCGAGTCCAGTGTTTTTTTCTGTCGGGCAAGCAAATTTGTATAGCAACCTGTACCGGTGTCCAGTTGACTTTCCAATGTTAGTTATGCTGTTTATTTAAAAAATCAACAAGAAAATCGGCCGGTATAGTGGAAAAATTATCAGGGCAAGTGATTTTACATGTGCCACTGTACCGGAGTACACTAGCAATTTTAAAGTTATTTTCACCCCTGTGTGTAACACCTTGACGTCCCCACCCAGCCCACGCCCACACAGCGATATATATTGGTAAGTTTTCTTTACGGATACATCTCACTCTAGGTTGTCCGTTCCGGCACTGTGATGGGGATGTGCTGAGACAGAAACTGCGAGCACAGAACATTTCCAAAGATGCTGTTGATGAGGTAATATTGATTTGTGAATGTCAAAAAGACAAAGAAAAAGCTATAAGCTGCGAGGAATTATTTAATTGTTCTGAGAGAAATAATTCTGTAAATGCATAGGCGTGTAGAGTGATTTTAACATAACTTCTAGAGGGACTTGTCATCCATTATTCCAAGTTGTAAGTTATTCTATATATCTAAGAGATACAGTTCACTCTACCCACATGTATAGTGTAGTCAGCATCCTTGTGCTTTAACTGTAATACGAGGGTCGATCAAAAAGTATGTAGAATCACCAAGAAAACGATACAAATACAGTTATTTTTGTTTTATTTTTCTACATATTATCTGTCAAGCTCAAGCGGGCGGTGGAGTAACCTAATGGTTAAAGCGTTGGCTCGTCACGCCGAAGACCCGGGTTCGAATCCCCACATGGGTACAATTTGTGAAGGCTATTTCTGGTGTCCCCCCGCCGTGATGTTGCTGGAATATTGCTAAAAGCGGCGTAAAACCAAATTCAGTCAGTCAGTCAAGCTCAAGCAATTTGGTTTTGCTATGTTCCAGTCTCACAATCCCCATTTTGTTTGACCTTTTATCTTGGTACCCTCAAAAAAAGGCAAAATCTACAATAAATGCATCAAAAACTTAACAGAATATGCAAGAAATATTTTGTGTGTTTGAGATTGATAGAAGTCCCCTAGAATCACACTTAGATATTAAAGTTCATAAAAAAGCCAATTGAAATTACAATTGCTTGTTAAAATGACTCCCCCCTTCATGTTGACTGAAAGAGCTTGTTTTGGAGACACAACCCATCCCCTTTCAGATGACGTAATCATAAGGACATAACTTATTCTAATGCTTTCACTTATTCATACATGATGCCAAGGGTTCAAACTAAACACTGAATGGTCACACAAGTGTCAGCTCACAATATATTGTAAACAGTACCAGCTTGAATATCTGGACACAATGTTTTAGGAAGATTGAAATGGGTGTTTCCTTAAAAAACAGCCCTCGACTAAAAATATATTAAGCAATCCAAATCTTTGACTGTTGATTATGACGGGAAGTCATCTAATACTATACTGAACATATTTTATATGATATACTCTGAGGGCATGCCATTATCCAAGAGGTACCAAATGACAGATCGTTTTTCATTTTCTGCAGTTTTGTTAGAAATATACCCCAATGTGTTGTGATGACTAATATCTTGTTAACCACATTACCCATTATTTTTGGATATGACTTTGCTAAAGATTCTTTAAAATTAAAATGGAAGCTTTTCAAACGTTGGACATCGAGAATACAGTTTTTGATCTAGGGCAAAACTGAACTTTTACACTATGATCGACCCGTGAGTCAGTGAATGAAAATGAACATTATTACACTATGCATGGGGTAGAGTGTGAACTGTATTTCTTTTGCTAAAAGCGGCATAAAACCAAACTCAGTCAGTCAGTCTTTTCTAAGATGCCAATTTTTATACATACAACGATCAATCTAAGGCACAAAACATAAAACAATATTGTTGTGACCTAAATTATGGTTATGTAATGCAAAAAGTCAGAAGCTAGAGTACTGTCGGCACACACGTCATTATATCCCAGTTGTGTAGACAGATGCTCATGCTGTTGATCACTGGATTGTCTGGTCCAGACTCGATTTTTTTGCAGACTGCCGCCATATAGCTGGAGTATTTGCTGAATGCGGCGTTAAACAACTAACAAACTGTCAGCACCTTGATCTTTTGGCAAAGCATCTTAGAATATCCCAGTCATTTTTATCTGAGAAATGTAGAAAATTGTGTGTTTATAATCACAGGTTGAGCTAGATCTGCAAACTAATTCTGTTGTTTTGAATCAAAGTCATGTCAAGTACAATTGATGACATCTTGTTTTCGTTGCAGCAAATTAGAATAATAGTTAAATAGCTGGATCGAAGAATGACACTGGGATGTGTACATGGTTTGGTCAACCTTTCGAAGGTCATTCTTTGGACATTTACTGAAACTTGCCTAGATATTTTTTTGTAGTTGGAATTACTTAGAAGGGGAACATTTGACCGCGTTGTCTTTAGTGCTGGAGCAATTGATTGAATAATCTGTCAGTCGATTGATTTTGCTTGCATCAGCGATTATCGATGACCTCGAGAGTCTAATCGATATTCATAAAAAATGAAACATCAAATTAAACTTTAAAAGTATGTACCTTATTGTTATGTTTGTTAACTCAAGAGATAAACAGTTGAATATGGTTTCCTGACTCAGAAAACAGAAGTGTAAACAACATACTTGCGTGCCTGTCTCAACAGGAAGTATCCGAGATCGTCTTTGTCATATCATTGTGCACAATATTGTTTGCACAATATTGTGATTGTGTCCCCTTTAGTGGTGTTCCGATTAATTGAAATAATCTAAGATTGGTCGCAGTGACCAAATGACCAAGCAATCGATCACATTTTCTTCATTATCGAACACAAACTATTTTGTTTTAGTCTTTGAAACACTTGACAGTGGAACATATCTTCGAAGTTGTCAGGGCCTGCAAACTTGTTTAATTCTTAGAAAACTCACTTCACTAACTGAAAAGTCATGACTGAATATTTCTTGAAGACTCCAGGAAGTTTATGGTCATGATATATTCGTCATCACTCTAAAGTAGCATGTTGCATCATCTTGTACATATCTGCAATTACAAACTTGATAGGAAAATCTGAAAAATGACACTAACCAATTTTTTTCGATGATTGTTCGTTGGTAATGAAGCAATCATCAATTGTGAGATTTCAACCAATTCCCAACACTAGTCCCCTTATTGCCCACATGGGTATATGATTCCATAGACTATAGATTGATTACTGAGCTCCGTTTGTTCCTCAGCATATTGTGGTGAATGACACTACAGTCCGTTTGAGACAAAATGATACCGATGAATTGCAATCTAACACAAAAACAGATAGACATAAAAGAATCAAACCAATGCGGACGAGAAGAAGGAAGTTCAAGCGTCTATTCATCCCGCTATCAACCGCTATGACTGTAGAAGTCTCCCATACAAAGATCTCCTTCTGGATCAGAGCAGTGATCCTAAGAGCCTATAAAGCAGCAGGGTTAGAGCATCCAAGAGCATCAAACCCACATGAAGCTAGAGCATTGGCCTCGACACTCGCCCTACATGGAAACTGCTCTATATCATCTATAATGGAAGGCTGCTTTGGAAGTCAGACTCTGTTTTCGCTTATCACTTCCTGAGAGACATCTCCACAGAAGACGTATCAGGGATACATCAGTTCGGCCCTCTAGTCGTAGCGCAACAACTCACTGTACCGGCCAGACTTTGAAGAAACTCACCCTTGTCACGCAGATTCGTTGACGCCAGGCAACTGTCCATTGCCACCGGCTGAGAGTCCGTGTTCCCCTGACTTACAAGATAAGTCAGCACATGAGTGATACATAGACTCAGTTATGGTAATGTTCTTGCCTTAACAGATGGGTCGCGATTCTAGTTTCGGTAAAGTTCTACCGTAACATATTGGGTCGTTGCTGATATCTAGACAACCAGGCGTCTAGTATACTAAATCCACAAAACTTAAGAAGTTTGCTTCTAATACAAAAGTATATGAAGGTAGTCCCCCGACAAGCATCAAGAAATATTGAAGTTAGCTGCAGAAGAAGAAAATTCCCAGGGGGTATATATATATCAAGGGAACGCTGATGTGAATACAATCATGCAGGGAATCCCGTGAGGTGGTTGACCCACCCGATTCCGTCCCGGATTCAGTAAGCAAATAAGCATGAGTCAGGATAAGGACAAATATGTACTATTTTTCCTTATCCTGACTCATGCTTAATGCTGTCTCTTCTTCTTCTTGAACCTAGTGGAACATTGTATCTCCCAATTGAAGTTCCTTCAATAAAAAATCACTCATTAGTACTCACCACGAGTAACCTCCCTTCCTTAGCCTTGGGAGCAGAGCGCCACCTGCCCCATGTGCCTCACTCTCTCCTTCTTAAGCCCAGTGAGCTGGGCGTGAGAAGCCTGTGTCTCCCAACACACTATATCCTTTATTTATATTTAGTTTATCCTTATTCAATTTTGCATTGATTATTAATGTGTTTCTGCTGTTTATTCACGGTTAAGCGTGTTTGTTCAGCAGTTTACGTTAATGAGAATCTGCACAGATTGTAAACTCGTTACTCTGACAGACCCACATTTAAAATGCCCTAGTTGCATTACTCCATGTTCATTTGTTTCTCGTTGTAAATTTTGTATTAATTTACCAATTTCTGCCTTTGATAAATATTTATGTTCCGTTTTTAGGCGGAAGGCAGATAAATCTAAGTAAACAAATCTCAGTCATGGCTAATAGATCACATATTAATGTTCCCTGTCAACTGTTGACTGGCGACCGCCACCGGCTGGTGGCATGCCTGAAGTTTCCCTCGAGGGGGATAAGCGTGGGGCGCGATCCGCTATGTCAAGAAGCGACCTGCGTCTCAAGATCTGTCGTCTTCTCAGTCTAAGACTAGCAAAGCGTCCATATCATCTCGTGCGCCCGTACACCCAGGTCTACAACCGTCAAAGGGAAGTCTACAAAATCTAATAATTTTGCCTCTGATATTTTACCAGTCACAGAATTAGCCTTATATGATGATGACATTCCGATTATCATTCAGAGGTTAAGTCACAAAAGCGTCCGGTATCGCGACTGTCACCTCAGCGCGGAATTAACACACAACGGAGATGCCTACGCTGTCACCAGAAATTTTGACTGAGGGTCCGTCACCTCGCAGAGAGACAACCCTCATCATCAGCGCCAGACCGCCTCAGGCGACCTGGTCAGCCAAATCATGAGGCTGATGGAAGACCGTTACGGTTTACAGAGGCCCCAGAGCCACAGGCCCCAGAGCCCAACCCATTTTAAGTCATACAGGGCCCCAGAGCCCGCCCAGGCTTCAGCGTAGAGGGCCCAGAGCCCACAGGCAGCGCCTCCACGAAGGGCATCCCAGCCGGGCGAGCTCTTTGCATAGGAAGTCCCAGGCCACCTCCTTGAAGGAGCTAGAGCCTCACCTATTGCGAGAGCTTAGCGGAGAAGAGGCTTTAGCCGAGCCGCACCTTGTAATTCACAGAGGTGGATTCGCGAAGCAAAGCTCACATGTCGGTCGGACACTGACTTCGAGACATTAGCGAAGGGCCGAAGGCTAAGTGGTTCCATTTCTACCTCGCCTAGAAGAGCTTCGCGAAGCCCCCAGCGTTCACGTAACACCCAGCGTTCGCGAAGCCCCCAGTGTTCGAGAAGCCCACAGCGTTTGCGAAGCCCTCACCGTTCGCGAAGCCGCCAGCCTTCGCGAAGGATGTCTTCTCCAAGGTCTCCGTACACTAGCCACTCGTCAGTCCGTTCTCCACAGTCCTCACATAGATCTTCCCATAGATCTAGGACTCCGACATATGACCATCACGTCAGAAGAGGAGGATGGTATCATTTTCTCAGATGCTGAGATAAGATATTGGATGGTGAATGAATTACAACTTGCCTCCCCATCAAAGAGCGAGGATGCAACTCAGACTTACCTGATGAAATGATGTAGATTATATCACCTTACCTCCTATTGACCCAATCGCGAAGCGGTACCAGCTAAACTAGATACAGCCTGCTCCAAATCCACTAAAGCCCAATCTACTCATTTACGGTCTTCAATGCCAAGAAATTTGCTGGACATAATATGGAACCCTTTTCCAAGGCCCAGGATATTGATGACAACTTTCAACTTTTCTCTGATACCAAGTCCAGAAGTTACAAGGTAGGCGATCGCAAACTGCCCCAATTAGATACCATTTCCAGGAGGATGTTCTTGGGATTAAATAGATCTAGAACTATTAATGAGACTCTCATCCACCCAGAGTTCAAGAATTCTACAGATGAGGAAGACAGAATGATCTATTCAGCTCTACTCATGCAGAAAAGACCGCCAATTCCTTACAGAACACCTTTCGAAGTAAACTTACTGACGCTACTACCATGGCCAGTAGGCAAGGGACTACTAGCCTCCTGCTCTTGGAATAAAGCAATTCCTACAGAGCCTCTTTACACAGCTCCATGGTCATAAGCCCTTTCTGTTTGGTGGCAACATAAACAAGGTCTCCAAAGAAGTATCTAAAGATTCCAGAGAATTACTTATGATTAGGGGTGCAACCATGCAGGTGGAGCCCGCGATCACGATACATATCTACGATACTGCTGCCCACGATTACGTCACGAATCGCGATACACAAAATAAAAGAATAACAAAATATCAGCATACAACTTTATTTGAATTGAAGAAGAAATCTTCAATCAGGTTAGTAAGCTGTTCCAATTCTCTTATTGCCTAGAAAACAATTACTTTTGTTTTAAAAACACTAAACAAATCTGTTGCTTTAACAGGCAGTCAGCTATCTGGATGTTTCTGAAATAAACTTTGACACTTTCAAGGAGTCTGAAAATCTGACTAACACAACATTGTCAAACAGACAAATGGTTTTACACTCTTTTCAGTGTGCTTCATGCATCATAATTCTATTACAATTACAGTTTCATATTTTTTTTAGGAAAATCAGAACATCCAACATTTTCAGCTGAAAGTTGAAGCCGCGTTGAGCAGTGACAATATCCCCAGCTGAGGAAAATACTCTCCGGCTGGGGACTGAAGTAAACACACACTCCTAGGTACTGCTTCACAAGACCGGCAAGGGCTGGGAATCTGACTGCGTTCATCTTCCACCAAAACAGGGGGTTTTTCCAAGTTAATGGAATACATTCCTCAAGCTTGTATTTCTGCACCTCTTCCTCAATGGAAGCAGAAAGTGGCTATAAAACTGCCTCTTGCACATGTAATGAACACCTCCCAAAATATCTCCTCAATTGCACTTTTGGTTTTCTTAGGTTGTGATGGGCCTGGTGTCTCAGAGTCAGAAACAGAGTCTGAAGTGCAAGTCTGTATCCCCCACCAGTCTCAGTGTCACTGACACTCGAGGGGCTGACTGTCGGTTTGAGGCAGCCATTACAGGTAGGGGGCTGTGCTATGCAGCTTCATCTGTGGGATGACTCGGTTCCTCACCTTCACTCTCTCACTGGAGCCAGTTCATCCTGAAAGAAGAGATTATAACAGTTCAACCCGACAGCTAAAATGTCACAAAGTGATATTTGAAATGCTTAGCATGATTAATTGATCATAATACACTGTTGAAACATTTTTTACCATTCAAATTTCAATCATTTTGTGTAATAAAAAAAATAAAATATTCAGAAACAAATTAAGATGAAGTTTTGTTGTTTTGAAACACCTTTTTTCTGTGGAATTTTTGTTTTAAATGTTTTGAAGCATTAATTAATTTACATTAACAGTATTTTTAATTATTCAATTGTTGAACTGTTTTATTTACCTTGTTTGCTTCTGCCATCTTGATAGCATTCCATGGTCAGGGCACTGAATACAAGAAGCGGTTGGCTTCCATTGTGGTAGGAGTAGTGATGTCCGAAACCTGGGGTCAAGGGCAGTTTAGCTTCCTAATAGAAATTTGTTGATGTCAGGCTCGAGTATATCTGGTCTTCAGATCTTTGACAATTGCCAACTTCACCAGACTTGACAGAATGCCAAGAATCACTTTCAGTGACGAGCCATGGATTTCAGAATAAGCTCCTTTAATGGGTAGAGATCAAAGGAAACTTGTGGGCACTTTCTCTGAACAGACGAGAAGTTTGTTATTGTCTTCAATGAGGGTGAAGAACATTTACCGCATCTTCTACTTTCTGCGGGACATCTTCCTCTGACAGAGTAACAAGGGGTGTCTGCATTTTTCCTGATATCCTTCACTGTGAGAGTGGCAAAGATTTGCAGCTTCGCTGGAAGCGTATGTCAGTAGCTAGAATTCCATCCGTTAGGAACATCTTGGATAGTCAGTTTGTGATCGGGCAATTCAAGAAGTAACTGTTTTGACCTGAGAACAGATGCAGCATCAATGAGCTTCTGTGAAAGAATGGAAACTATTCTTCTCACCTCTCCCCAAAATTCCTGGACATCTCGCGGCACCTGCATGGCTTTTGGCTTGCTATGTTAATTGTTATTAGCATAAAGCACCTTATATGAGGTGCAAATCTCGACTGCTTTACAGCACTAACAATATTGCTAGCATTATCTGTGCTTTATGGCAATCTGAGAAAATTTGCCTAAAGTTCCATTCGATCAACAGCTGATTCCAGGACATTAGCCAGGTTTGCTTACAGTAACGGCTCTCATGTAATGTTAGGTGTTTGAAGATACCCGGATTTTCAAGTTGCCAGTCTTCGTTAACATATGGTGAGCCGTGATGGTAATATAGCTCTCGGTGGAGCGTGAGGTCCAACCATCAGTAGTGACAGCTTCATTGATGGCCTTGCGAGCAATACTTTCCATCACACTTGATTTTTACTTTTCTTGTACATTTCAGGTATCACATAATTCATGAAGTGGGTTCTCGATGGGATTTTCATATCTCCGGTTCAAGTGTGTGGATGAGGTAGCTTGAGAGCCGATGTTCTCTACAACTGAATAAAGATTAGCATGTCCATGCCCAATGAATATTACCAATTCCATTTTATTTATTGCTTTAGCCCATTATCGAGCGAGGGCGACAGTTTGGTCTTGAAAGCCTCACTAAGTCTAAGTTGACCTGCTACTTCGCGATGTCGCGTTTCTTATCGTCAAGAAATGTTCAAAGCGTTTTGAACGACGGTTGATTGTCCATAATCATTTGCCAATCAATATCGAGGGTGATGTATGCGCCCGAAGATGTGTGGACATGTTAGTTGTTAACTCCCCGTGTACCTGATTAGCGGGTAACACAGGCAGATGAGCAGTCTCATCTTTTTTAACAAAGTTTCTTACCGTCAATGTATTCAATTGGAAGGAAACCAAATGCTTGCCAAACAGAGAGATTTGAATGAGGCGGGGGTTTTCGAGCTTCACATTTGATTTAAGCTGCTTACCAGTCCGTCTTCGAGACATTGTTTTGACAGCTCAAAAAGCACGCATGGCATCTGACCGTGAACTTGAGGCTTGACATTGAGTAATGCAATCTGATTGGTCATTCATGTTTACTGGCCACCAATGAACAAACAGCATGGCTGTGTACTTTTCGTTTTTCCTGGAAAGGTGTGTTTTGTGTGAAATGTTTTAGTCATGGTTTCATGCAGAACATTTTATTATTGTACAATTTTTGTCAAATTATTAATAACACAAGCTTTATTGATTGCTATGAAAAGAAGTATATCCGATGATAGGTATGCTTTGCTCGTTTGATGGAAAATATTTATGATCATAAGCGTTTTGTCACTGAAAAAAAAAGGCTGGATATTTTTAGACGATATAGTAAAAACATTTGAAGGCGAATACAGCAGTTTTGTGCGAGCTTGTCGATCTAACCTGTACAACTTAGAGACAAATATAGACACTCTCTCAGGTAAGATCGTTTATTCAGATTCAATGTTCACAACACGGACGGCTATATTATGTGAACAAGATCATTTTACTGTAATTGACAGCACACAAAACACTGTTTACAGTTTTGTATAAATGGCGTCATCGGTTCACGGGCAAAAATGTATGGCGTATGCATTATCGTCATGCCATAGATCGCGATGCACGGTGTACGGTGTATCGTTGCACCCTACTTATGATTAAGATCCATGGATACCTTAGCGAGCATGCTTTAAACAGTCAGCACCAGAGATACCGAGGAGCCGTCTAAGTTCTCAGGGGCTACAGAGAGCGCGGGACAAAGAAACTAGCTTGCAGCTCTAATGTAATCCCAAAGGATTCTTTTTAAATTAAGCCCATACAGCAAATTTAGAGGAGGATCTGGCGAGGCAGAATCATCCAGAGGTGGCCGTGGATTTAAGCGATGAAAGGCAGGTTCCGGAGCGACTGGAGTCTTCCACCCCAGTTAGTTCCAGTACAACTCTTCTTCAAGAAGTGGGTGGGCGTCTTCAACGCTACACTGGGAAAACTGGGGAATACTACAAGATCCTTATGTATCCAACGCATCCTACAACACGCGGATATCACATACAACTCAAGACCAAGCCGCCGTTAACGAGTCACCCCCACCAAGGTTCAGCGTTCTTGGCGGCTCAACTACCTATATGTTAGAGAGAAACAGTACAGTCTCTGCTAAACAAACAGGCCTTAGAAGTTCTGGATCAGCGAAACTGGCGTTACCCAGGGGTTTCTCACCAGATTTTCCCTAGTGCGAAGAAGAGAATTCCAAGGAGAAGTATAAGTCTCATTTACAACATGAGGCACCTTCAACAGAGAATATCTATACCAGAGCCACCTGCGTTTAGCATGATACATTTACCACAACCCGGCGGTGAATGAGTCCACTAGATTACATAGCCAGCATAGATTTGCCAAGGCGCATATCTACACACATTTCGAACCCCAGCTCCAGGAAATATCTAAGATTTATCCTGGAATGACGCTACATTACCAATGGAAGGTACTTCCTTGAATCACTTCAGCGGCCTTGGGTATTCACAAGAGTAACCAAGCCTATTGTCTCATACCTACATGCGTCAAGGTCTGCGGGAGGCGCATTTTACCTGAGCGACGGTATACAAGTGGATCCAGATCCACAGCGTCTCGAACTACAGCTGAACTTTATAATCAAGTTACTAACTCAATTAGGTTGGTTAGTAAATCTACTCAAGTCAGATCCTAAGAACCAGCGCCAGGATCTGCATTTCTAGGTATCACGATTCCTTACAGCTCAGAATCGTTTAGTAGTCGGAGGACAGATGGATCAAGATCCAATAACTGATTCCCCAAGCCCTACTCTCGTTGCCTACAAGATTAAAGGTCAGGATGGTTCTGTCCATGACAATCAATTGGAGACGAGCAGAAATCGGAGGTCAGCATCACCAGATTGGCCCATGAGCCACCGCCTCTGTGCATGGGGTCTGCGAGGTGGCTAGTTTGTTTTGGTGGAATATTTGTTAACATTTTGAACATGGTCAAAAGTGCTGCTGTAATACCACGCTTTGTATAGACATTCCATGCACAGGGCAAGGTGTGACTCAACCCATTGGTAGAATCGGGCCTATTCTACTGATCTGCCTAGGCAAAGTTAGGGGTCGGCGGTGTGGTTGATTATTGAACACTATTGCCGGTTCCAATATCCCCTCAACCACCAGACTCCCTTCCTCTGCCGACACAGGATGCAACTCCACGGCAAACGGGTTGCCCAATTTGGTCGCTTCTTACAACCAGCAATGGGGTGTCAGGGACCTATTCGGACTCGGTCCACACGGGGCGAGGGTTTGTATGTGTCACGTGAGACACAGATAGGTCACTAGGCTGTGGAGGTTTGTATGTGTCACGTGAGACACAGATAGGTCACTAGGCTGTGGGAGGTTTTTATGTGTCACTGGCACATGCAAATTAATGCGATATATGTCACGTCGAGGCACAGATAGGTCACTAGGCTCTGGTAGGTTTGTATGTGTCACTGTGGCACACGCAAAATTAATGCAATTAGCGCTTCAGAGCCTGGTTGTTCAAAAGCCTGTTACATTTTAAAGGATTGTTAACTAGTCTTTAACGGATCGTTAACGTTAGCAGGGCGAAAGCCTGTTGCTCAAACTCTGTTAACCTTTAACGGCACGTTAAGACCATGTTAACTTACCAAAAGGGGAGGAGGTACATTAGCTCACCTGTACTACCCATCAAAAGACTCACTTGAAGCACTCACTATATGTTATGCATATACATATGGTTACATCGAAGATTGCTTTCTCCACTAACTTGGGGGAACCTTATGTAGATGAATTGTACGAGGATCATGCATCAAATTGCTGAAAAGCATGTGCAAATATCGTACATGTGAACTGATGCGTTTGGTGTAAAGTTTTGTTAAGAATTCGCCAATATTCACTGATTTTCATCGCTTATTGAACTCATGACAATAATCTTTTCAACGCTATTAATATATGTTTTACAATACATCAGTTCATGTAAACAGTACCTTTAAACAGTATGGAATATTTTGCACAATTCAGTTCAGAACAGCTGACTGAAGTAAGTGGCTACATTTACATAAAGAAGTTGTATATCCATAATAGTGTTCCTCTTCATCTTTTAGTCATGCTGCCAGTGCTTACAAAACAATATTTCATGGCATGCAAATTAAGCGTATTTCGATCCCTGATCTCTCAGTAAAGAGGAAAAAGTAAGGTTTAAAATGAGCCAATGAGAGATGTTATGTATGAGATTGTTGTCCACTAATAATGTTTCCAAACATAGGAAGACTCGGAGTCTCAATGATTCTGCTTCAATGTTAGATCTGGGAACGCCAGTATTTAGGGGACAAAACAAAGATTGGTATAATGAGTATAATCAGTATAATGAGTCTGAACTGGTAGTGGGGTATCCTAGTGGTTAAATCGTTCTCTCATCGCGCTGTAGACCCAGGTTTGATTCCCCGCATGGGTACAATGTGTGAAGCCCATTTCTGGTGTCCCCTGTTGTGATATTGCTGAATATTGCTTACTCACTAATTGAACGGGAATCCATAATAAATATGGCGCGGCTAACCCTCTATAAAACCAGCATTAGTTCAGCCTAGTCCAGTCATGCATGTTGTTGTACAGGTGCATCGATCATCAATCGTGGAATGCAGTGTCAGGGTGGAAATAACCCATTGTCCCACATCCGAGTCCAGTGTTTTTTTCTGTCGGGCAAGCAAATTTGTATAGCAACCTGTACCGGTGTCCAGTTGACTTTCCAATGTTAGTTATGCTGTTTATTTAAAAAATCAACAAGAAAATCGGGCCGGTATAGTGAAAAAATTATCAGGGCAAGTGATTTTACATGTGCCACTGTACCGAGTACACTAGCAATTTTAAAGTTATTTTCACCCCTGTGTAACACCTGACGCCCCCACCCTGCCCAATTTCACACAGCCATATATATATTGGTAAGTTTTCTTTACTGATACATCTCACTCTAGGTTGTCCGCTCGCACTGTGATGGGATGTGCTGAGACAGAAACTGCGAAAGCACAGAACATTTCCAAAGATGCTGTTGATGAGGTAATATTGATTTGTGAATGTCAAAAAGACAAAGAAAAAGCTATAAGCTGCGAGGAATTATTTAATTGTTCTGAGAGAAATAATTCTGTAAATGCATAGGCGTGTAGAGTGATTTTAACATAACTTCTAGAGGGACTTGTCATCCATTATTCCAAGTTGTAAGTTATTCTATATATCTAAGAGATACAGTTCACTCTACCCACATGTATAGTGTAGTCAGCATCCTTGTGCTTTAACTGTAATACGAGGGGCGATCAAAAAGTATGTAGAATCACCAAGAAAACGATACAAATACAGTTATTTTTGTTTTATTTTTCTACATATTATCTGTCAAGCTCAAGCGGGCGGTGGAGTAACCTAATGGTTAAAGCGCTATTCACCACTCAAGACCCGGTTCAATCCCCATGGGTACAATTTGTGAAGGCTATTTCTGGTGTCCCCGCCGTGATGTTGCTGGAATATTGCTAAAAGCGGCGAAAACCAAATTCAGTCAGTCAGTCAGTCAGTCAAGCTCAAGCAATTTGGTTTTGCTATGTTCCAGTCTCACAATCCCCATTTTGTTTGACCTTTTATCTTGGTACCCTCAAAAAAGGCAAAATCTACAATAAATGCATCAAAAACTTAACAGAATATGCAAGAAATATTTTGTGTGTTTGAGATTGATAGAAGTCCCCTAGAATCACACTTAGATATTAAAGTTCATA